CTTTAGGGTCTGAAGCATCATAATGCAAACTGCTGTTCAGGAGTGCCAACCTAATATTCAACAACATGATAGTTTACCAACAACATAGTAGCTACAGAAGATTCAGTATCTGGAAAGAGCTACCAGAAGAGTAGAAATGCAATAGAAATTCCTCCTTCAAGAAAAGAGGGGCATAATACTCATTCTCACAAAGTTTATGCTTTCATAAGGCAGGACTCCYATCAGGATCCTGTTTTCAGATASGATGATAGAACAGAAATCAAGTTCTAAGTATGCAGTGGTATCAATTTGGAAGAAACAACAAATTATGAAAAACAACATAATGAGATGTGGAAGCCATTTGATCTTTTAAAAATCCAAGTTAATAGAYACTAAATGCAATTTGGTGAAGTATTCACCCATGAAGGAAACAAAGCGTACAAAATGATAAAATACTGTAGTCTGCTGATCAAGGAAAGATTACTTTGAAAACATATTATATTGAAATCTTTGCTGGTAGAAACAGAGAGTTATTTGTCAGATGGAGGGCAGACAGGCATTTCTTATTTGAATTCAGCAACCTCTAACCACAAGGCTACAGCTGGGGTGTAATAATCTAAACCCCATTTTTAGATATGAAATGCTATCACTGTGTTTCTGAGGTGTCAAGGTTTCTGCTATCTGAGCCAAACTCAACTTCATGGATGGTGAAACAACTTTTTAAGGATTTTAGASTTCAAAATAGTTGTTACTAAAGGGCTGCTCAGATGAGCTTTGAGTCACATTTGATCTGTGCAGAAGGCTTCAAAAAGGGTTTASTCCATACACTGGGAACAGACATCAACATTACTGGAAGAATCACACACTCAGTACTTTCTCCATCCCTAAGAGTGTCATTGTAACTCACAGCTATTATCATAATTATGGCAAGTTTCCACATGATGCTTTTCTGTTTTGAGTGCCATGTAATCGTCTGTAGAGTAGGCAGCATTTCTTTATTCTAGACAAAAATCTATAAATAAAACCTACTTTTATCAATTTGGRAAAAATAATTAAAAAAAAAATAGAGCATACAAATGCAACACAAAACCCAAGCCTTACAAAGAGAGGAGAAAAAGCAAATATTCTACCAATGTGTTAAACAAATTAGGCCAAAATGAGTCACCAGCAATATCTTCACATGTGTCTTAACATCATCTAGCTATAACAGGGGGTAAAAATGGCTCTATGAAGTCTTTCCACACTTTTTGTTTAGTCCAGCCTAGGATATCCATGGTCAAGAATTGGAAATTCTTCTCATCTAGAAGGACAAGTATCTTCCAATACACTATTGTGTTGCCTCTAGGGAAAGCAATGTTTCAAGCAGGCAACATTCTTTTCTACAACACTCTTCTAAACTACCCTGAAACTTCGTGAAGGTAAGCTGAAGGAAAATGACTTTATCAACATGTATTCTCCCCTTCCTTTTCTACTCCATCYGCCTTGGCATGCTTTGGCCATTATGGTATATTACTTCAGGATTGCTGTTTATCCAAAGATYCTTCCAGAGGTAAGAATTGGAAATAAAATGGAGAAGAAAAGGGAGGAGGGAAAAATCGCAGGTTCATGGCTTTGTCTGCGTGCTTATGTCTTATGCCTTTCCCCCCACCCCCCTTCCTGCTGCCTTCTGCCAAATAAAAGGCAAAATTCTGTGTCTCCTATTGTATTGAAGTGTCTCAGGCAGCTCATCAGTCTACCACAGCTAATAGTACTTTTAGTCATTAAACAAAAACTGAGTACTTTTTCTCTGGCTSTTATTATATATACAAATCACTCCTTAAAATTGCCTCAAAATTCACTTGCAAATACTTCAACCAACATTAACACAATCTAGAGAACTCAGTTCCTGTAGTATATGTAGGTGCTACTACTCTTCTCTTGAAAAGCAAAGGTTGTTTATATTGAGTGTCATTCATTCTCTTTTATCYTCACCCCCACAGAAGAAAGTGCCAAGATTCCACTTTCAAAAGGATCAGACCTTTGACCAGTCTGGTTTACCTCACAGGCTGAGGAAGGTTCAAARGAGCAGTAGAGGAAGTCTGACCTACTCTTGTTCTGTGAAACAGACTGGAAATGCAAACCGTTAAGAAGAAGCATGGCTTTACTACTCAGCACACAAAGGACAATATTAAATAATGCAATAAAGTGTTTCCCAGACCTTCAACTCTTAAACGCCCAACCTAGCAAATAATGATGATCTAGAGACTTTTCTCAATTTTAACTTAATGATGATGTCTTAGTTTGGGGTGCAAATATTCTAGACAGAAAGTGTAAAATCATAGAACAGAAAAAAGAACATTRTTTTAAATAGTAAACAGAAGAAAAACAATGTAATCAGGATGAAGTTTGAAGCCTGTGGAATGTGGTCGTTGGAAGTGAGGTAGTTGGGATTGAGAAAGATTGCCGATGAAGTAGCGCAAATGGGSTGTTGAATGACTTAACCACTTATTTCCTTGCTCTTTGTTTGTGTTGGCATACAGGAAGTCTAGCAATTTTAACCAGAAGYTGATAAAATCTGAGTGTGTGGCTAGGTAGACGAAGTAAATGAGTAAAAGTGTAATATGTATCAGCACAGAGTATAAATAACATTGGCTAAGAARCTAGAACAGCTTTGTTTCATATGTCACAAAGTAGAGACAGAAGTACTATGTAGTATAATACAACACAGAGCTGAATAAAAGTGAAAAAAATTAAYTGAAGACTTCTATTACTTTACCTCAATAGGAGGCAGTAGCACTTTCAAATTTGTTTAAATGAGGTTCAAGAYACCTTGCATATCTCTGCTTATGAATCATTCTGTTAGTAAGTAAAGACACTACATAACAATTTCATGTATGGGGTCTGACCCACCCAGTCCAGCGCTCCCACAAGGAGAGCTAGGATACATTCTTTARGAATGACTGATGCCAGGTCTTTTGATCTCTAAAGGAACCCAATAAAAGATGTCATGTTCAAACAGAGTAAATGATAATATGGAAAACAGGTAAGCAGACTATGTTTTATAATAGTCCATCAACAAACCATTCAAGCACATAGGAATTGCAACACTGAATAGCACCCATTAAGAAAAGCTTCAAGAGCACCTACACTTTTTTGGTTGTTTTTAAGTGGCAAGGCACCTAGCATTTCCTCATGGCAAGTTCTTTGTCACAATATCCTACACCAGTATAAGGTAAACAATTTGAGATCTTCATCYAAAATACCAAAGCATATTCCAGTGAATCATATATAGCATTTTGCATGGTTAAGAAATTGATGAAAAGAACTATGCAAAGGTTAGGAAACCAGACTGACTGTGCTGCAGTATCAGCTGTTTGTTTTTCTGGCTGGTCCTGTCTCACTGCTACGCTCAGAACAYATATGGCTCTGAATGCTCTAATTTGATATTCTCCTGGTCTGAAATGACCAACATCTCAGTGATCTTTGCTCRGCTGCCTGACAAGAAAAAAAATAGGAAAGGCAAGTATGGCCATGAGTAAGTCCAGTCTTTATCGACAAGAGATGTTTGCAAAAGCAGAGAGAAAAATAGAGTGAAGGTATTCACACTGACAATTTCTAACAAAGGAGRACAGGCAAATGCCCTATGTCATCAGTAAATAGGAAGGCTCTTTTTGAGGTCCACTTAGGGGAACAAAATTTTCGTCTGTGAACAATTTGGAAATGTTTTTCCCTGCATTTCTTGCCCCTGGTTTTTCGTATTTTGGTTCATTTGCTTTTATTGGTTTGTTGTTTTTTTTTTTTTTTTTTTTTTTTTTTTTTTTTTTTTTTTTTTTTTTTTTTTTTTTTTTTTTTTTTTTTTTTTTTTTTTACATTTCCCAACTTGACCTCGCAATTGCAGACCTAAAGAAAAACTACTATTAGTTCTTTCTCTCTGTGAATTGGACTACACAGCTGGATCTTCTGTTCTTTTAAAAGCAAGGGTCTTAGTTTTGGAAGATGCTGAGTGCTTGTTAACTTCATAGATCAGAAAATCAGTTGACAGCAGTACAGATGAAATTATTCTTTGATTACTTGGTCTGACATCTGTCTCTCTCAGGCACACTTTTCCCCTCCTAGAGTGTTCTACGCACCTCACCACCTCTGTAAAACCTCTTCTTGCTTTTCTCTCCTGAACTACACATGCATACATGTAACAGCCTCCAGATTCCTTCCTTCCCAGGRTAGTTGGGAAATAACCCAACCTGTACAAATTCCCCCATTTTCTTCACACAAATTCCCCAGTCTTTATAACCAACAAGGATGCAAGATAGCCAAACAGTGACAAAGAGTGGCCAAGAAACACTTCTAGCCAGAGTAGTAGTCAGGGCATGGCCAGAAACTGGATACTTCAATGAATCACTTTCAGTTTTGTCCTCACAAAACATGCATTTTAAAAAAAACCTTCTTTTTTAAGGCTGGACTCATATTTCCAAAGAATCATAAATTTGTTTATCACATTTCAAACTGTAAAATAATATGATCATTTTTAAAACCTGTATTCTAGTCAAGAATTTACTAATTCAAATTTACCATTACACAAGTGACATATTAAGAGCTTAATGAAAAAGTGTTGGGGTAAGAGTTTGGTTAAAGACAGGGTTTCAACAGGTACATTTCAAAGATATAATGCAATTAGAATTAACCTTCCTTTAGATTTGTGCAGCTGAACACAAATTTTAAAAAGAACTGTGCCAGTCTGCTGCAGTCAGCTTGTTCCAGGCTTCCCTATCTCTGTGATATAGTGTATGAATTATATATAACATTAGCCAAAATCTAAAGGTATAATAGCAACAAAACCAACTCCTCCACACAAGTTGAGAACCATCCTTCAGCCAGTATGCATAATTGTCTACATAAATTAATTCAAAGAATAGAATACAGAGTACAATTAACATTTTTTCTYCATCTATCTTAATTTTCTAAGCAGCTCAGTTAAATTTTTTAAAAGTGCCATTTCTTTTTCATTGCAGCTAGTTTCACATATTTAACAAAGACAGACCAACCTTAAGCCTTTTGATAAATATGATACCTTGGTAACTGCAGCATTCACTTTGTATCCCATTTCTCCAAGTTTCTGTCAACCAGATGTCACTTGCAATGCAAACACTAGAAAAATATGAAATAATAATTTCATACATCATCTRTGTGAGCATGAGCCAGTCTAACATTCAATACAAATTTAAACTGCTACTACACATAAAGCAAATATCATCCAAATAATATTTAGAATGATTGAAAGGCTTTTGATTTGGAAGTGTATTCTCTTAAGCTAAGTGGTCCCCAAGACCATCTAGAAAATTCAATTGTTTCATTTTAAAATGTTTTCTGCCCAAAATTATATCAAATCCTAATGTCTCAGTAGAAACACATGGGACTGGATTGCTGACTGGGCGCCCGATGTCAAAGAGGAATCTAATTTTCCAATGGCATTTCCTCATACTGTCTCACCAAAATACAAAATTGATAAAATTTTAATGGATAATTTTCAGAGCAGGACATTAGCCATCATGCTGGGAAATAACGCAGGAGAACACCATGTAGCATCAGAAAGGCAATGTATCAGAAGACCGTTTGAATAAATATTAATAAAGCACATGGCTTACATTTTATATTTTTCTCTTGCAATTAGAAACAGAATTCAGAAGGCAAGTTTTACACTAACAGGCACATCTCTCTTTCCCTTCTTTTCCAGKGCATTTTTACAAGTGATGTCTTAAAAATATGGGTGTGATACGTTACTAAAAGGGCACAGTGTACATCTTTTACTGGGGTGACACAGTCACAGTCAACACAGCCCTCTTCTCATTGAAATCAATTGTGAAAGTCATACTGACTTCAATGACTACATCATTAACCACTCCATGTAACAAAATGTTTTTGTTAAGTAACTCTACAGAAAAAATTGCAATAATGGAATAAATGAAACATCACCCATCTGGCTGTCCTGATGGGGCAAGGTACTACAAGCACTTAAGACCAAAAGACATGACAAGATGAAAAGACTAAATCCTACTCCTGATGACAAATAAGTTATACTAAGGAGAAAGGTACTAATTAACAGTATTAGGTTATCACTCAGTAACAATGTAAAACATGTGTATGGAAATGTGCTATTTAAAATGTGTTAGTCTCTGAATAATTTTCCTTTCAATTGAGTTAGGTCATTAATCATTTAAATTTGAGACTTATTTGGAAAATAGAAGTGGACAAGTGAAAAAAAAGTGGAATAAGCTTTTACTAACCCTTGTAATTTATTTTGAATTTATAATGAAAGTGCAACACAGTGGAATATATGGTGAACTAGACTGACTCAGCTTCCCAGCATCCATTTCTTGTCATTTATTACTAGCTGGGTTTTGACACCTGTATATATATGTATGTATGTATATGTATATATGTACATATATATATATTCAGTCTATTCAAGTGATTGCTTGTGCTGATAGAGAAAAGAACAGTAGCACTTATTCTTAGGAGGCCTATGTCTGCTTTCATCAAGAGTTAAGTCTTAAAAATCTTTAATAAATATATAGGGAAAACTTGCAGAACATTARAAAGACCACAACAAAGGAAAAATCACAGTGATTAAAGTAGAGGTTTAATCTTCTGGGGCAGAAAAAGCCTGCCCATACCACATGCCAAGTCTGCCGCAGGTTAGGATTTTTCTTTTACAGTAATCTCAAAAATATCACTCAAGTACTCAAACTGGGGAAAGACCAGAGCTAGTCACGTAGCCAAAGATACCTCCAGAGCTACAGCTTTCATTCAGAAATATTCACTTCTATTTCACYGCTCAGAGGCCAGAACCATTGTGAAGAGGAAGAAATCAATATTTTGGTAGAGTTCTTTGTGCTTCACTGCAATTCTCTTCCATTTAGCCTAGGTAAGAGACTTCTCCAGATCTGGTCAATAAAACGCTTTTGGCACAATGCAAAAGTCACACTGGAGCTTGCTAAGATATGGCTTCCCCAAATCCCTGCTACAAGCTGAACACAACTAACCTATAATTGCCCATCTCACTGACCAATCAGTAAGTTATASCTTTTTCCAAACCTTTTGGCATTTTTGCGACACCAATCTACCAAATCTAGTCCCTCCTCCACACCAGTCACCTTTGTTCCTCCTGTAACTCAAAGGAGTTCCCCTTAAACAAAACAGTGGGGAAACAGAAGGYTGAAAAATGGAAGGCTGAGCTGGAGGCTTCTTTGGTGTGTCTGAATAGGAGAAACAAGACCTCCCTGGCTCCTTTGTTCACCTTTCCTGCTCCATCCTCTACAAGTGGAAGGCAGTGTCCATTCTCTCTGTTACTCAAAGGCAGCAGAAGAGACCTCTGCTTGCATTTCAAAAACATTCAGCTGGGCAGGTTATTCAGTGCAAGAAAGAAAGTTTTTCCAGAGAGGACTGCAATTCTCAGAGTTGGCAAGGTGTATTGTCTTGATTTGGCTACTTAGAGTAATGAAATCTAAACAGACTTTTATTAACAAGCCTTTTCACACCTCCTCTGCTCTCAGCAGCTGAGCTCAGCACTGAARGAGAGACTCTAATGCGGTAACTTTGAGAAGCTTTCTGTGCCTCTCTCAAATGGAGCATGCATTGGTTACCTAACTRTGCATGAGTACAGTACAGCCTCGGCATCAGCTTCTGCCAAAACTCTGTTACTGGAGGAAATTRCAAATTTGACAGATTTGCCATCCTGAAGTCATAATGGGCCTAAGAATGAAGAGGAGAGGGAAACAGCTAATTCCCTGAGCAGATTTGCTCTGCATCCTGGCTGATCTGCACTGATAGCCTTTAGTAGCTCAAGGGCTYGAAAGAACTCTTTAATTATCAAATTGACTTTTAAGTCTATTTCCAGCTTTGCAAACACTGAACTTTTATTTTTACCAGAGAAAAAAGTACACTAAAAAACACACAATAGCTGCAGACATTTAGAGAAAAACCACTAAGTCTGAGACTTGTACTTTTATCTGTCCTTTTTTCTCCTCAAAAGGATTTAACTTCTCTCAGAGCCAGCTAAACCTCTCTTTCCTGGTTCTTTCCTTTTAAGGCTTTGAAGTTTCTAAGCAAGTGGATAAGATGTGTAACTATCTGTCCAAGACTTTGCGGGACACATTAGGAGTGCCTAATACCACTACCAGTGGGTAGATACTGGAGCTGGGMCAGCAGGATTGCCACAGAGGGCTGCTGGCAGCTTGAATAACTGGTGCATCTGTGCAACTTAATCCCATATTTTGACTRCTCAAACAACACACCCCCTTGTATAACTTGCTGGTGGTTACCTGTATCAGGCACTTCACCAAATAAAATCTGAAATTATTACATTAAGTTTTTCACACAATGAAGAAGGAGCTCTGTGTGCAGAAATACATRGTGTTGGTTTCCACAAGATGGACTTACTGATCAACTACAGGGAGAAACTSTACCATGAATAGCACTTTGCAATACTTAASCTTGAAAATGTGCAACTGGACATAGGTTGGTTTTACACGTTTGTATTCTCTTTGCCTAAAGGTTGTTTAGAGATACATTTGCATCTCCAAGACAAAGCACATGTTAATTACCTCATGTTCCCACTGTACTTTCAGGAAGGAAAGCTATGTAAGTGCTAAGTGCTATTAACATTATCCCCTTCTATTTTTCTCTTTCAGCTTTTAAGTGAATACAGTGCTTGTGAAAGTTGTTGGATTGACAGCCCTGGAGACTGAAGTCTAAAGTGCAGTACACCCGCTGAGCCAAACAGAACTAAAATGTACAAAAGCGTCTCACCAAATTTTAAATACATGCTTCATTTAGCTATTGTTCTATGACGGCAGGTAATACTACCACTGAAAGTTTTGCTGCTCCCATTTACTCGTTCTAAACATCAGTTCAAACTCTGCCTTTATTTCCTACTTTCAAAAATAATTTCTTGCTGACGTGCAACACCCCAGAGAGTGCTTCCCTGCCTTCAAAATCCTACGTTAAGATGGAATGCTGTTGAAGCGTAACTTCATGCTGCTGCAGTCAGGTACAATGGTGCGTCCTGGCATTCACTTTGCACATCACAGAAAAGTACATTAGCTAATCTCATACAGTTTTAGTACTGATCCCACTAAGTGCTTGTCTGCAGAAATGCTACTCTATATTATGATCTAAATCTGAGGCAAGGCAACTTCTAATGGAAGATTTGTTCCTCTAGCTAGGAATGCTAGCATTTCATAAAAAATTAAGTCAATACTTTAACAACAATTCAATATTTCCTGAGAAATGGAGCATCTTATTTTTATTTAAACACTAGACTTCCAGGAATACACCTCTGAAACACGTTTGGAAGTTTTTTAATTTACTTTTTTGAAATCTTTTTTGAGATACCAAAAGACAAATCCTACCTTTTGAGATACCTCTCTTCACACAGGAACGTTCTGATCACTTGTAAAGGTTCCCCTTCATTTTAGCAAGAACCGCTGCTCCCTCCAGGAGACTGCTATTCCTGCTTTCCTGTAAACAAGCTCTCTGAATTACACATTTACTGGCTGTTGCTTTCACAGTCTCCTTTTATCYACTCTCTGCTTCCCTCCAGGTGGAACTGTTTGAGTTTTAAGTGAAGGGACTGAKCCTAGTTGAGTAGAGTGAGCACATATGATGCAGAACACCTGCAGTGTGTAGAGCTGGTACTAACAGCTGCTGTTACAGATGCTTCCAGAAGATTCCTTCACTTGTCTTGACAGGTTCCAGAAAGGAAGTTTGGTGYCTGGGTCATCTTCAGTCCTGCATAACTTCAAGACCTGGCACTTACAGAAAGTAATTCCTTTCCAATTCCAATTACTTTTCAGTTTGGGAAATTTCTCAGGGCTTCTTGTCAGGGCAGGCTAGTCTTTTATGATTTCCAGTCTGCAATGCTGCTCCTTTCTATTTCATCTTGACTTGATGTCATTAGTCTTCTTTTACAGAAACCTGAGCATTCTTTTCCTAATTTATCTAGAWAGTACCCTGACAGCAGCGTCTTTGATCAAGACTTTGCCATTTATGTCTCTTCTCCCGTTAATCATTCTCTGAAATGAGACTTGCAGTAAAAAATAATTAAATCAAGTCTGACTGCCTTCAAATTTCTTGGCTTTCTGGGATTTTGGATGCTCACTTAGGCCAGGCCCTTTAGAGACACTGTGCTTTCTTTGGTACACTGAATAGACCATTTGGGCTATTTTCCTATACTAGAATGTCAAAACAGGTTTTACCAATGGTGAAACTAAATAGCCATTTACAGGAGCAGCTTTGACACCCAGGCACTTTGTTGTTTGATAGTTCTCCCAAAAAGAATTCACTTTTTTCTATTAAAAAAAAAAAATTTAATCTGGAGGCAAAGTGACCACATGATCATTTTTCTTGTCTTTCCTTCTGGAAAAAGAATTCCAGAAGTTCCTTAAAGTCAAAAGGGCCAACCATGAGCAACATCCTCATTTCTCTGGCCAGTGGAAGTCTCATCAAGAGTACAGCTTATCTGTGAGTGTGATGAAACTTGCATCAACCTGAGATGATTAATTAAGCTGCCCCAAGGGAATAATAAATACCACAACAATTAGCACCTTCCTCCTCAATGAGAAACATTTCTTTATGACTTTACTGTCATAAGCAGGGATATAAGTATGAGCCTAAACTTACTTAAACAAGAAGTGTTATTGACCACCTTTTCCAGCTTGACAAAAAGTAGGAAAACAGAATGGCACAATGTTGGATGTGGCATCACATGATTTGTTTCAAGGTCAGAAAATATTGGGGTTTTAAGCACTCAATATATTTTAGGAATATGTTTATGTGTGTATATACAAAATAATTGTAATACTCCATACAGATCCACATAYATATGGAACAGGGTTAAAAACAAACAAACCTACATTAAGACTTCTGTGACATCTCCTATGACAGACCAACATTTGTGCTTAAGCCAGAAATGTTCATCTAGCTTTGTCAAACACCACTGGTTTTTACAAGAAACAGTTCACAGTCTGATAAATTCAAGGCAAATCATCATCCAGTTTCTTGTAGTACAAATGGCTGCATATAAAACATGCTCTTGCTATTAAGTCTAAAACATTACAGGACTGAAATGTTCTGTATCGCATCTCAAATTTTCAAACAATCCAATATCCAGTCTACGTATAGATATATACTTGCTGTTTAATCTCTTAAAAATCAATCAATATTAATGTGTCTGCCTTAAACTTTTAAGGTCATTGTCTCCCTTCTGACATTTTTAACTACATCAACATCACATTATATCATTATAGACTCATGAAGCAATGTACTTTTACATTTTTGCAAGATAATGTCTCTTTTGTGTTTCAGTTTTTATCATAATATAAATCTTGAAATGTAATTTGCATATCTTTTGTTTAGCAAAGGAGACCCCCATTTAAGACCATGTAATTTTAATACATAGACTAAAAGTGGATGACTTTTTAAAGRAAATGCACCAAAATATTCCAATTTATTCTTCAACTGAAGCGGCTGCTCCATCAGTAAATTAGTAAATTCCCTTAACAATACACTTGCTAACAATTATGGTCTGCATGCCTTGGGCTYGCTTGACAGTAGGGTTGCCATCTGTTGAGAAGTCCATTCATGGATTTTAAAGGGCTATTTTAGGTTTTTCCTTTAAACACTGAAAAATACCTTTTTGCTCTTCAGCCTTCCCTCTACTTGTCCTGTCTTTCCTGTGCTCTGTTCCTCTTCCTTCCCACCCTGCCAAGAGTACCAGCGTACTCCAGGCACTCTACTGTCCCTCTGCCCCAGCAGCCACATCACAGCAAAAGGCTTTCAGGCACATTCCCTTCTGAGGAAGTCTGGCCCATTTCCAATGGCCAAGGTGATCAAGCAGAGAGGAGGGAGGAGCCTTGCAGACAGGTACAGACAGAAATGGACAGGATCAATCAAGAAATTCAAAAGCAGCCATGAAGGAAACAAAATCAAGMCGATAAATGGGAAAGGGATGGTAGGAGCTCTGGCCCTGGATAGATGGATATTTCACGAATTCCTTCAATAAATAGGGAACCTCTAGGGAAATTCAGCACCTGGCAATCTTAGTGGATAGCTGTGCTGCAAAGAAAGCATAATGTTCGCCCCTCTGGTAAATTCAAGCAATTAAACCTCCTTAAAAAAAGGCCCTCTTAGGCTTTCTGCCCAGTAAACTCACAGTGAAAAGCAGCTTTAATAAATGTTATAAATCTCACCTCTGAGCCAACAGGAAATTCAAATGTTTTGCATGTGCAGGAGCCAGGGAGCTGCTGAAACAAAAGGTAAATGTGGATATTAGAATAGGTTATGCTCATACTCAGACTGGGCAGCAGCAGAAGCATAAGGCTCAAAAGATGACTGGTTTTTTAAAGCATCCATTCTAATGGCAACTTTGACCATTTATGTTTGTGTTACACCAGAACTCTCCTTTCTTGGTGAGTGAAAAAATTTATTTAGTGATGCATTTGCTGGTTCAATGAATTAAGGATTACTCCTTAACCTTGCAACATTATTGGAAAGCAGTTTTGAGTTTCAGTGTTTTAGACATAAAACKAAATAAAGAAACAGCAACAAATATCTGTGGTTTCTAAAATGAAAAGATCAAATAAAAGAGACTGCAGAGAATTTTTGATCAACACTCTGACAAGGGGTGTTAGTTTTAATAAACAGTAAGAATTTTAGCCCATTATTAAGTATGAGATGCAGTCTCAGCTGTGTTTCTAATTTCCTTTCTTGCCTTTACTGCTGTTATATAAAGCTCTGTAGTGACGAAAAACATATATTGAAAAAATCTGAACACACCATTCAGGATTATGTTACTTCACCTGCGCAGAGCCTCACCAGCCAATGAGAAATATTTGTCTCTTTGCCCTCCATGATGCCAAGAGCTGCAGGCACATTCTGTGTATGGGACAAATCAATGGACAGAGATGCACTTGTATAAGTGAATTAGAATTTTTTTATTGAGTCTGAAKACGGAATTCAGTTCCTTTTGATTGTCGTTTTTTTAAAGCCATAGATAAACACAGCCACATCTTTGTGCACACTTTTAAAATGTGAATTCAAGTATATGAAAACAATGCATATTTGGCAACATATCCTGTGAGAAGGAGGTTTTATGAAACTTTTCTGGGAAGCTGTTGTCTACCAAGCTATAAATACTATACTTTTTGTCTACCACACACACTACAAGCTTATGAAAACACAGAAGACCACAAAAACTAAAATGAAGAAATAGTGAAGGAGAGMCAGAAGATTGTATGGAAATAAGTTATGTTTGCTGCTTGAATTATTCGCAGGAATCRGGGCAGAGGCCTACTCCTTCTTCCACTCCTAGTTTTTGAGGCAGGTAGGCAGAGTGGGTTGGTATGAAAGAAGTCTCTCCAGAAATCTCTTCATGACCCCCCAAAAAAGCCAGGAATTATTTTATTACAAGAGGGACACAAGGAGCAAATCTCTCTTTGTTATAATGACTCCATCTCTGGTTTTCCACCTATAGTACTTTTTATTAGCAGATAATCAAGATTATTAGAAATTATTACTAATAAGCCATTACAATGAATAATGGTAATTAGAATAACACTCAAGGACCCAAGTCATAATAACTATGGAATAGTTAAAAAATATGAGCATAGTGAAGACCAAGGCTTTGCACATGCAAATCTCATACCCAGTAATGAACAAATACAGACTTGTACTCCAGAGAGCACAACACTCAAAGCCTTTCATCCCTAAACTGCCAATGGCAGCATCAAACCCAGTGCTTGTCCACAGACAAACGAGTGACAATTCTAAACAAGTTTCTTTTCTTTAAAAAAAAAACCAATGAAGTGGAAACAGAAGGATTGGTAGAACCAYATAATCCTATTTCTAGCCCCAAAATATTCTGGATGTGTGGCATCTTGGTTTACAGTAAATACTGGTTTAGAGCAATGCAGATCCAGACACCAAATGGATCAAGGATGCAGAGAGAACATTCAGCCTTTATGGCTATTCCATGGAAGGGCAGCAAGTATTTGCCCAATCGAGTTGGCTTCATCTGTGTCCCTTATTCAACAGAATTCTAGTTTTTCCTTTAACAGAGAGCAAAGCTCTGCTTGCTACGAGTTAATAGCAAACATATGTTTAGAGTAGACACACCTTAATTTTCCCACTTTTTACATTTCTTTTTATGGTTTTGTCTCAGGGACACATACCCTCCCTTCACTCTTTGCCTCTTTGCAYCAGCTCTAAATCCTTGTCTATCTTGTTTTCCATCTTCAGAGTCATGACAGAACTCTTCTAAAAGTACTCTGCTGACAATTTCTGATCTGGCTTTCCACTAAGATAAGCAGAACTGCATTTATAACCTTTTAACTTCACATATAACTTCATAACTTTAGTTTACAGCTATATAAAATTTTGTAAGGTTTTATTTGTAAMGGATGGCGTTATCTTAACATGAGCTATGAAGTCACTTTATATATACATATAATATACATTATGTAAACATATAAACATATTAAATATGTATATCATTACAAATGGACATATGCTTCTGACAAAACATGAAGAGAGGACTTTTCATGCCGTAAAAAATGGTATTTGCAACTGCAATCCAGAATAGATTGCAAAGGATATTAAAGCKTGGATAGTTCTGTTTTAAAGAAAAACATTTTTCAAAGTAACATGCTGCAGCTGTGTTTGTTCAGACTTCCTGATCATGGGGGTCACTGTAAGAATTTTTGCACTACCTTAGCAAAGGTGACTAGAAGCACTCTGCATAAAAGTGCCCCTCCCTCTGTATTACAGGAGGAATTGTAGGTCAGATGCTCACAGGCACATCCATCAAAGCCAAAAAAAAAAGTTTTGTAATACTCTACTTCAGAACCTAAAATCACTCCAAAAATTACAGAAGCTTTAACCTCTTTATTACTCTGGCATTACTCTACTTAATTTCTGCTTCAGTCCAGMTGCAGCTGAATTTCAATACACAAGCTCTGGTTCTTGGTTGTCAAACCCCACATACCAGTTTACATGAATTTAACAACACTACAGGGCTTAAAAAAGATAAGCATTCAGGGCTGGAAACATCTGACAACTGCTGTGTCAAAGCTTGCACAATGAACAGAGCAATAGCCAGTTAGGCCAGCTCTGTTATCTTGAGTACAGAATCTTTTCCAATGCCTCATTCCGAAAAATTAGGTAGGCCTGATAAGCTGTATCTATTTGCATAGGAAAGTATCCTGTCAAAGTCTTTCATGTTGACTAGGTTAAGCAAGTTTAAAATTAATCTTACCACAAGCAAGGTACYTATTAAGGAGGGAAAAAGGCACAGCATGGGAAGCCCTATTCATATCAGCTAAAAAATTTTTGAGCGTGGTTTAAAGCTTTAGGGTTTTTAACTACATTTTCATGAAACATTTTTGCTTGTTCACTCATTTTTTCCCCACATTCAGTTAAGATCTGTTTTGGATATGAATTTTGGTATAACGATATTTAAAAAGTTTTCATTTTTGACTTGTGGAAGTTATCAAACTATTATAGACCCCTGTTCCTGCATGAAATTTAAAGATACCACTCACAACTTTGAAGCAGTGTGCTCCCCAAAAGAAGAAAGTAAGTCCAAAAATATAATAGTTGAGATTAACCCTCAAATTCACTTCAATGTTTCTAATTTTTARGAACTGATGCCCTCTCAGTGCCCTAGTTCTACATCAGCCCTGAAACAGATATAAGACACATTCTTTACTTTGTTGCTGCATGAGACTCTGTCTACAAYAAACATTTTTGCTGGGTCCTTAAGTAATAAGTTAGACAGAGAGAGTGTGACAGACAAGTTGCTATTTCAGACTTGAAACAGCACCTGGAGGGCCAAGACCTTTCCCACTTCAATAGTAGACAGAGAATCATGGTAGTGATCAGGGTCATATGGTGAGTGAGGAAGTCACTGATACTGAAGGATCTGATGTCACCATGACAGCTGTAATAACCAGGGCTTACTTCCTTCAGCGAAAAAATACCCACAGAATATRGTGAATACACTGCTGCAATATGTACCTCTTCTACCTTCGTGTCGTGCTATAAGCATTTAACTCCTGAAGGCTCACAGTGCAAGAACAGAGCAACTAACCCTTGCAAGACATTGAAAGGGAGATAGGACAGAAGAAGAGGCGTTTTTTTTAAGTCTTGAAAATTCAGCAGAAAAGTTATTATTTGCTTGTTATTGACAATTCATTCCTCTGAGATAAAACAACTTAGTTACTAGAGGATCCCAAGGAGACAGCTGGCAGTGATGAACTGAACAGCATTCAATCGCAGCAAGTGAACATCATAAAACAGGCACCACTGAATTAAAAAGTAACCTTAAAATGTTTAGTGTACACAAAGGCAGCCTAGTCAAAACACTTCAACAGTGATTTAAAATCTCAAGTTAGAGGCCAGTTTCAACCTTCAGGGAAGCCTTCTCTATTCATAAGGAGCTTAACTAATCATAACTTTCCACGACTTATCAGAACTGGATGCAGTGTGTCGCAGCATGATAACTGAGCTCTGGAAATGCAACAAAAGATGTCTTTTTACAAAAATAATGGTGAGACTAAACCCCAAATTTAATCTTTGAACTTGGTGGGGGAAAAACATCCTGCTACTCATTAAGTGTTTCCATTAGCATGCAGGGAGTCTTAGGCAGACAGCTTCTGTTCATGTTATTGTGATGTGTAGGGCAGCACATGTATCAGGAAAGGAGTAGATTTCTGAAAMCCGGTCCCAGGATGCTCCACAAAGTGCATCACCAGGAAACAGGACAAGCRGTATCAGGCAGGCTGCATTTCTGCAGATAGCTAGCTATGGAAAGAATAAGTCTACCTGAAAAATAACACTACTTTAGTTCATCTAATTGCTCACTATTAACAGTCCAGTGTTTAAGAAAATATGCAGTATTTTTTTTCTAACATGATAAAAGCTCWAGCTATCAGAAAGCTTCAGAGTTAGAGCTAAATGGAGCTCAAAAAGGACCAGATTTCTATCTSTATTTTCTTCAGTGCAGTTCCAGATACATTAAGACCTCAGCAGAGACCTGCAAATATTATGTACGGCTTTCTTTTATCTTCTGGAAAAAGGGGGGAAAAAAACAGTATGAAAGAATGAAGCAGTGCCAAACACTACAAGAAAGGCTTAATAAATAGAGCCCAGGGTCACAATGTTGCTCTTATTTGCCCTGAAATATATCACTGAAGTTCTGTATATTCATATTTGTTTACATTATAAATGTACTAAATGAGCTAATTAT